ACATTTTGATAGTTGCTAGATGGGAGGGGGTTTGGGGTGTTGGTGAAAAAAGGTGAAGGGATTAAGAAGTACGAATTGGTAGTTACAAAACAGTCATGCAGATGTAAAGTAAAGCATAGCAAATATAGTCAATGATATGGTAATAACCATGTATAGTGCCAGGCTAGTCAGGGGGATCACTTCTTAAACTATATAAATGTCTAACCACTATGCTGTACACCTGAAATTAATATAAAATAATATTGAATGTCAACTATAATTTAAACATTTTTAAAGGAGGGAAAAGGTGAAGGGGAATAAGAGGTCCAAATTTCCAGGTATAAAACAAATAAGTCCTGGGGATGTAATGTACAGCACAGAGAATATAGTAATAATATTGTGATAGCATAGTATGGTGTCAGATGGTTGCTGGACTTATATCATAGTGGTAATTTCTTTAGGTAAATAAATGTTGATTAATTATTGTGTATCCCTGAAACTCATATTGTTTGTTAGCTATATTTTTAATAAAACTATTTTTTAAAAAGAAAAAAAATATGTTGAAGGAAGACTGAATAAACTTGATTCTCAAACACCACTTAGCACCTGCTCCCTGCCTGGTCGGGGCACATGCTGAGCACATCGTCCCTCTCTTACCTGTGCCCTCACCTTCTTGGCCCCACTGGCTGGAGAACTTATTGGAGGACCCAGTACTTCAGTCTGACTGGCTGGGAAACCAGTTTATTTGAGCAGATAAGGGTCAGCAAGCTCTCACAAGGACATGGCCTCTACCAGCTTGACAAAGAGACAGATTAAAAGAACCATAAAGCCACCTTTGTCAGCCACAGGCGTCGTTTGGTTTCTCCAGTTTGTTCCAGAGCCACAGGCTGCTCAGTCCCTGGACAGGTGCGAATCATTGCAAGAACCTGTGTGTGCACAGCCTGGCTCTTGGCTCCCAAGGGTTAGTGGAGTGCAGACAGCAAAACACGACTCCTTCCTGTAACCAAATAACCCTGAGATGACGCTCAGGGAATGAATAATGTAGATGGGAGCCAGGGAAACGGCAGGTGGCCCCCGTCTGTCTGTCCACACGGGTGAGGTGGGTGAGGTAGCAGGAATGAGACAGGAGATGTTCTCAGAGGCATGAATTTTTTAAATTCAAAACACTCTCAGGCCTTTGCTAGAAGGCCTTGTAACCATGATCTCCCAGATCGCTCTAATGAGCCCAAGCAGGAAGGTTCAATTGTCCCAGACGTCTCATGTTTCAAGGTTCTTTTGCTCCCAGACTTCCCATGATTCGCTGGAGCAAGATCCCCTTCCGGGCCTTGGTTTTGCAACCACAGGCTTGTCCAATGTCTCCTGTTTTAGCCAAACAACCTGCAAAATGCACATCTCAGCAGGCTGGTGGTTTCCCTGTTGAAGGGAGAGAACCACACATACCCCTTGTGGGCCTGTCCCCTTGCCCACGGCACATATTAAATATTGACATGCAGAGGAAAGGCAGCTACCTCCTACCTTTTCTGGAACCACAGAGACAGGACAAGGAACCAGGACAATGAGACCCACCCAGACTCGGGTGGGTCAAACGCCAGGCTGCAATGCTCCACACGCCTGTTTTCATTAAACCCCATGAAACGCATTGGCTGCTGATACCCTTATCCCTTGGCCAATTCACCTTGGAAGCAAGAAGGTTGAATTTGGAAGAACATTTTTCTACTGCAATTGGGGAATTGAAGTTTGATTTTTACAAAATCAAATCAAGACTTCGTATCTTCATTTTAAATTGTCTGGGTAGTTGCTGAAAGCCTATCTTATTCATTTTTTTATTTCATGTTTTCAAATTGAGGTTTTTCTTTCAAAGCTGTTCTTCTTTTAGCTGGTATAATGCCTGCAGTCTGTATGTTTTATTTTCAATTGAAGCCCACTTGCGTATTTGAACACTCACAGGAGGCGGAGGCCCTGTTATGATATAAAAGAGGTGTACTCAGCCTTTCTAAGGCTCATTCCAGCTGAGCTCATGTTAAGTAAATATATATTTATGAACTCTGCAAAGACTGTAGACAAGAAATTAACCAGCTGGCTATGAGAATGTAATGAATAACCCAATAAAGGAGTAAATGAAAAGTTCTGGGCATGTAACCCATGTTCGAGTGACCAGATGGGGCCCCGAATGTCCTATGAACAACCTCTCCATCACCCTGATTGGGCCCTTGGGACCACAAGGCTGGTCCCCACGTGAGCTTTCCCCATGGCCTCCCCAAGGGCCAACCAAGAAGGAGACAGTGCAGACTTTGGGGACAAGCTGAACCCGTCTCGTGCATGGCTTGTCTACACCATCCCAGATGGCCGTGGAACAACCCCTCCCACTCAAACCTTGCCACACTCACGTTGTCCTGTCTCTTTGCTGAGATTTTCCGTTTTTATTTGCTCAAGCATTTTGCAATTTCTGGCTGAAGCATTTTTATGATTGCTTTAAATCCTCGTCAGAGGATCCCAACATCTGTGTTATTCTGGCATTGCCACTGCTGATTATGTTTTCTCATTCCAGTTGGGGTTTTCCTGGTTCTTGGTGTGACGAGTGACTGTCCAATCATATCCCGGACATTTGAGGTATTATGTTATAGACTCTGGTTCTTATCGGAGTTGTCTATATTTTCGCAGTCCTCCTCTGACACAGTGCCACATGGATACTGTGGCACAGAAATGGGGCTTAATCTAATTTACAACAAATGCCAGGTCATTCAAGGCCTTAGAGGAAATACCTGCTGCCTCAGTTGGGAAGGCATTTATTGAGCACCTTGCACAGAGGTGGGCACAGCAGAATGTGAGAGAAGCACTGACAAGTCTCTTAGCTGGAGTAGCTTATGGTCCAGCTGAGGAGGCCAGAAAGCAAACAGGAACAGACATAGCGCATCTGTGTTTCTCCGTAGCATCTCTTGTGGTGCTTGGCACCTAAAGACTTCCAGTTATTACACATGAACTACAACCTTTCCTGGTTTTTTGTTAGTTATTGTGTTGATCAGATATCCTCCCATATCACACTTGATTCACTTTAATAAACCTCTCAGGGCTTGCCCCATAGAGAGGGGTGGCCTCTTTCTAAGGTGACTCTGTCTCTCATAGGCCACAACTCCACTCAAATATGCAGAATCTCAAACAAATGCATGACAGGGGTTTGGAATAAAGGGGATTTATAAGTATAAACAGTAAGGACTGACTAGCTACTGTGAGAAGCAGAATAAAACCACACAAGACTTGCTATGACAAGGAATAAAGTAGAAGTGTGCAAAATCCAGATGCGCTGGAATTCAAAATCTGACAAACCACGGCTTTGCAAGCAATTTTTAAAATCTGGTAGCCATAAAGAGATGAGAATGAAGGCAAAGTGTGTGTGTGTGTGTGTGTGTGTGCGCGCGCGTGCGTGTTTGTGTGTGTGTACATATGTGTACAAGTATGTGTGTGCGTGTGTATGTATGTATCTGCATGTGTGTGTGGTTTTGAAGGAAAGAATGCAACTAATATTCATATCACAATCTAGAGAATCCATCCCACTTTTTAAACTTTCGTTTTTACCCGTTTCACTTGACTAGAACTTGCATTTTTTTGTTTTTTACAAATGGAAAGTAGGCCTGAAGCCATTTTGATTGAACATCTCCAGGGCCCTCACCACCCTTCCCCTCCTCCTGGAGATTAGGTTGATAAAGAAATATCATGGTGATGTTCTTCTCATGGTTGTATATCTAAACACACCACCCGCAGGATGGTAAAAGTGGGATGTTTCTTGTTGGGCTTTTAGCCAGGGCATGTTAACGACCGAAATTAGATGCCTACGTGCCTGAGACCAGCCACCATGTAGAGATTTTGAGCCTGGTTTCCGAGGACCCCTTCACTGGCTCACAGTGTGGAGGATAAAAGGGGTCAGAGATGAAGGCTTTTCTGCAGAGGACCCCCGCGATGTGCCTTGTGGATGAACACAAAGCCCAGATGGGCAAGCAGTGCTGGTGCAGAGCGAGGAGAGTTGCTGTAGCACTGGAGGCAGCAGGCAGCCCGACAGTCCGAGCAGGACAGCAGGTCCCCTGGACCCAGGTGAGCAGGGGGAGAGAGCTGCAGTGAGGACTGTCCTATACCCATTGGAGTGTGCCCAGTCAGTGTGTACCTGAGAGACACCCACAGTGGAGGTCCCCAAAGACCCATGAAGAAGCCCCACAATGAAGAGTGGCTGTAAGCACCTGCCCAACAGCTCAGAACTGCCCTGGCCGCATTCCTCCCTCCCCAGCCTCACCTCCAAGAGCCAGAAGCTGAAGTTGACTGGGGAGGGCAGGAGAGCTCAGCGGAAAGGGTGGGAACAACCCTCCAGCCCAGCTGGGAAAGAGGTTTGAAGTGACTGGAGTTCCTATTATCACATGGACAGATGGGCCGTTTACGTTAGTGCCTTGAGACCACGGTTACTTAAAGTGGCTGCAAGTAGATGCATGGTAACCTCTGGGTAGGGTAATGGTGGGGTGCGGGCACGGGGCTGATGAGGTGACAGCAGTGTCCTGCGTCTTGCACCAGCAGGGAAGTCCCCGGGTGTCACAGTGTGGTCATTGACAGAGCATCCATGATTCATTTTCTCTATATGAAATTTTATGTTTTATTCAAATTTTTTTTTTTTTAGCTGAGCCATCCTTCCACCTGTTGGTAGCTCAGTAGCAGCTCAGCTCGGGCTGTGAATCGAACCAGCGACCCTGTTGTTCAGAGCTCTCACCCTTGAGCGATCTCTTAAACCAACTGAGCCACTTGGCCGGCCAAATTTTGTTTTAAAAGTTTTTTAAAAGTTTATTTATTTTTTAAAATAAAGTGACAACAGGACTTTTGATTACCTGTGTGTGACTACATGGAGCTGACCTGAGTTTTATCAGGGGTGAAAAATGTCAGAGCCTGAACAGACACCGTGAGACAACTGAAGTAACAAGTAAGTCGCTTCTGTGATTATATCCCAACAGACCTGTGAGTTCAATGGAATAACTACTTGTTCATAGGTTAAGTCACAGGCATGAAATGTTTAGCCAAAGAACAATGAATAATTTTTTTTTAGTGTATGTCCTATGCAATATTTGAGGCATACACGAAAAAAATTATTTGTTGTTTATCTGAAGGCCAAATATACACAAATGCTCTGTGTTTATCTGGCCATCCAACCATAAGATGAAGGCAGAGCAGTCCTTACTGGTGAATCTGGTGTGACAAGAAGGACCTCTACCTTCAGGCACCATGGGCCTGGACAAGCATATGGCGATGGTGATCTTAGGGGTGAGGGCCAGACCTCCAACCACACAGCTGAGGCTGCTTAAATCATCCTTCAGGGCCATGGGGACCTAGAGCAGAATAAATGGCTTTAGAAAAATCAGAACTAATTCTTTCTTGTGCCAGAATGTAGTGAAATGAAATTTATAGCCATTACCTAATCGATATGTACCATTCTGAAAACAAAGCCAGGCTTAGGGAAGGGTAGTGATTTGTCCTGCCAACAGCTCAGCCTCCATCAGCCTCTGGGTCTTTCATCTTGGGCCTGCCCAGGGCAATGTATAGGTGGTAGTTTCAGATCACAGACCAAAAAGCACTGGAGGCCCCTCCAAGACCCTTCCAGAGCATTCTATGTCTTTACAGTACCACACACACAGGCAGGAAAGAAAGATTGTTCTGTGAGGGTTTATTTCACCAGCCCAAGTGTGCTTTAATGGCTAAAGTCCTTCATGTGCATAAGGTAACTCTAAGGAACACACTTGAGATGTCTCCATAAAACTAGAGAACCTATACCTAATAATTGTCTGAATCACACACAACTGCTTAAGGGACAGGTCATCTTTTCCACAGAGCTTCTAGACAAAATAGGAGGTAGTTGGGTCCCAGTTTTGGCCAGCAACCCTCCATAATTGTCAATTGACAAAATTCACTCCTCTCCTGAGTGGGGAGGGAGAGAAGGTGGGTGTTCCCAGGTGGCATGGGGGCAGGAGCTAAGCATGAAGGGGGTCAAGCCCAGGGTCCACAGGCCTCATTGGTGGTGCCCGGGAGCCTGAGGGCTGTGGTTTGCCAACCCCTGTACCAACCAAGAGACGGTCGCCTGCAGGACAGGGCTCTAGGAAGTTGCATTAAGGTGCTAGGAAACTCAAACTAAACATCCTTTCATCTGAGCAGCCATTTGACCCGGCTACCCAACACTGTCACCCCAGCTTTCATATCCACACAAGAGCCTGGAGAGTTATGCATGGTTGGTGCATTCTGTCCGGTAACCATTGCTGTATCTTTTTTGAGTGAAATGGGACAAAAGAAGTGGACTATTTATAAGCTGGGGCTCCTGACCCCAGGCCTGGGAAGTCTGGTAGCTCTGAGCCTCCTAACTCCTGACCGCGCGCACTGTGAGCATCTCAGCCACACCAGCGGCCTGACTCCAAGGAGTTACCTGTCACCACGGTGGGCTTGACTGACTCACAAAGTCCTGTTTGTCCCTGCAGGCAGCAGAGAGAGATCCCTTTTCTTTCACATCTAAGAAATCAGACACATTCCTGACTTAGACGAGGGAGTGGCTTCCTCCATGGTTACCCCCTTCATGTCCTCAGGCATCTGCCCGTCAGCACGCCATACGTTCAGCTCCCCAAAGACGCCAGTCTCAATCATCTCCTCCTGCCAGGGGATGGAACAGTTGCCGGTGGCAAATTCCTGGAAGAATTCTGTATCTGCTTTGTCAAAGACCACACCTTTGACTGTGGAAAAGGCCCCTACATCTTGGATGTTCTTTGCATAGACAGTTCTGGAGTCTGGGATGAAGGGGGGCATCAGCATACCTGTCAGAAGACAGAAAACACAGGTGTGACACAAGCACCTGCCAACAATCCACCCGGCTCAGTGAGCGGGGCCTCCATCTCACTGCTGCCTTTCCTGGGTGTTCCGGCCACTAACAAACAACACAGTCCAGTGGGTCCTGGGCATCCCCCACAGAGTCCCATGGTGACGAATAGTGTGTTCTTACCCTCCACCGTCTCCTCCCCTCACACCGCCGTGCATACCCTCTCTGCAGACCACAGACCCCACACCCTCATGCCAGTCTCCCAGGGCATTGCCGTCTGCAGGTCAGATACCTAGACCCCAACACGCTCAGACCTGAACTCTGCATCTTCTTTCCAAAGCCAGCTTTTCCCTCTAACCTGCTCAGAGGCCACAATGATCCCGTTACCAGATATAGAACTTTGGTCACCCAGGACTCCAACCTAGACCGACCCTTCCTTCCTCTCATCTCTCAACCTGTCCCCTGTCTCCGCTCTCGGACCTTGGGCTGCCAAACCATTGCACTGACCGCAGGACTTAACTTCCTGACTGGAGCTTCTCCTGGCTCTGATCTCTCATTGCTGACTGACCTCACCTCATCCTGGGCTGGTCCCGACAACTCTCTGTGGTGGAGCCCACCTTCAGATCAGCTGGGAGCTGCCTCTGCTCTGACCCTTCCTTGCAAAAGTAACTTGTCTTTTTGGTCTTACTGAGGCATTTACTTCTCACTGCTCTGTCACCCCAGGGCTCCTGTTATCTAGGCACATGTTTACATATCCTGGATGTAGATTCTGGGTTGGGGGAGGGGTATGACTGTGTCCTACACTTCTCTCCCACAGACACGTGCACAGAAGCACACACACACACACACACACACACACACACACACACGATCTTGCATATACATTCACTCAAATGCTGGTTGAGCGAATGAATTTCTCCCAAGCAGACAGCTTGAGCAAACATAGGCTCCTTGAAACAATATGGTATGGAAATGCAAAATGGCAGGTTTGGATCTTTAGTTCAAATGTAAGCCAGCATATCCCCTACACATCGCATCCAACATTTACCAGCTTCCAGCAGGTTTCCCAAAAGGCCTAGTCCATTAAAACCCAGTCCTGGGGTACCTGGGGGATGACCAGAGTGCTACAGAGTATTGGCATTACTTGGTACAAAGGTAGCTATCGGAAGAGCATCACCCAGGTGTTGCTTCTCTACTGACATCAAGCTAAGCATAGATGACACCAACAAGCTGGGTCAGGCAAGCAAAAGTCACCTAATAGCCCCACCCCCTACAGCCTCCCAGGTCCAAAGGCATGCCACAAGTACCAGCCTCAAGCTGTCTCCAGTTAATGTCTTTAAAAAGGCGGTTGGCACGGAGCCCATCACAAGTTCCGACTCTGAACCCCAGGCGCTTCTCTGGGTCCTTCTCCAGCAGCGCCTCACAGAAGTCCTTGCTGGCCTGGCTGAACTTGTCTGGGTACTTGACTGCCTCCGAGAGGATCCTCTGCTTGAGCTCCTTGTTCTCCACCTGCACGGTGGGATTCACATCATGTTAAACCCCTGCCAAACTCACCACCATAACTAGAGCCGGCATGTCTGGCTTCAAGAGTTCGGACAGCCCCTGCTGGTGTCTCGGTTGGGCTGGCGCTTCTTACTGGGGCAGAAGTGACAGTCACACCTGTGTGCACTCCCCTTCCCCACAGAGTAGCAGTGAAAGGGCTCAATAGCTCAAGTTGAAGGAGTGACTCTCTAAAGGTGTCAGTTAAAGTTGGGGTGCACTGTAGTTTAGGGAACTCTGGTTGATGCCTTGGATTGTTACATAACCATTCCTTGCCTACTGGAGGAAAAAAGAATAACAAGAAATAAAAAGTCAATTTTACAGACCTGAGCAGGTAGGTCTTCTAACTGGATAGAAACCTGAGGTTGTGTCTATGGATCCTTATTTTGAACCAGCTTTATGGAGTATAATTTACATACCACAAAGCTCCATCTTCAGTGACCCCAGGGAAGGGTTTTAATCAATCTCAAGAGACCCCCATCACCATTGCCCAAAGTACCCTTTCCCCGTTGCAGCCCATTTTCCACTCTCGCCTCAGGCAAGCACTGATCCATTTCCTCTCATGAAAGATTAGATATGCCTTTTCTAAAATTTCCTAGAAATGGAATCATTCAGATTTACTCTTTCATTTATGGCTTCTTTCATTCAGTGTAACAGGTGTGGGACCATTCGTGTTGTGGGTGTATTTAGGTTCCTTCTTTACTGTTGCTATAAATGCACCACGGTTGGTTCACTATACACATCTCATAAAAACTCATGATGCTCATTTCCATACAGAAAACAAGGATTCTGGTTGGGCTGTTGGATCAGCAAAAGCTCTGAGGTGGGAGCTAGGAGCTTCTATCGTGGACCGAGGCTGGTCACCTGCATGTGGATCTCATAACATTTTGTCTTATTTTGCTCTTCTGAGCTGTTGGAAGTCAGGGGAGGCAATTGGTTACCAGAGTTCAAGATGGAATTGCAGAGACACAGGGTGACTCGGTGTGTTAGTCATATGGGGGACCTGTGCTCCTAGAAGATTGGAGACAGTTCCCACAACTGTCTCAGGAGACAGGAGAGGGGACCTGGTGGAGGAAACACACTAGGAGGTCCAGGTAGAAGGAAGTGATGGGCATGAACTCCATAAAGGCCAGGGGGCAGTGGGTGTGGGCAAGAGAGGCGCCCCATCTAAAGACTGCCATTCATGCCAGACCCCTGGAAGTGCCTCCTTTCTCCAGCCTAATTTCCTGTTCACAGAGATGCCTGGGGAGGACCGCACAGGAGAGGAACAAGGAGCAAGAGAGGCCAGGAGTCAGGGCACAGCAGGCAATGTCCACTTTGCTCCAAAACATTCAGAAAAGCTGCTGTGCTGTGCCTGGTGTGGGGCCTGAGGGTTCTTAGCATTGTGGGAGAGGGTGCTTAGTGTTCGTCTGCAGTGAAGAGCATGAAGGCTGTCAAAGGGGCCAGGGAAGCCCAGTGGGGCAGGGAGAGTGGCACTGAGTACTGCTCATGGCAGTGGGTTTGCAAAGGCCCAGGAACCTCTTGTCTTGAAATGCTCCTTGGTGTCAGGAGCAACATGAGATGAGGACACAGTGTCCCTTCTCCTCTGCCCAGAAAGGACCTACAACAAGAAGCCTAGTGCTCAAGATTTGAGCAGCTCCTCCACAAAGGAGGGTCATCACCAGGTCAGCTGCAGGGACACCTGCCCCTATGATACTATGATAATAAAGAGTGTCAACCCCAGGACAACTGCAGGCACGCCAACTGGGCTACCTCTTACCTTCTCTCCCCGGGCTCGGAAGGGTCCTCTGGCTGCTATCATCTCATACAGTGTGACCCCCAGGGCAAAGTAATCCACAGAAAAGCCGTACTCCTCACCCCGCAAGAGTTCAGGGGCCATGAAACCTGCCGGGCAAGAACACAGTGCACACTCAGGGACACAGCTGCATGGTGGTCAGCACTAATCCTACCCTGGTAGTTGCAGAACTGATTCTCCCATGTTCACATAGTCAAGGTTCTCGTGCTATGACATCTGAGGCAGAAAATTCTCTACGGTGGGGCTGCCCGATGCATTACAGGGTGTGGGGCAGCATCCCTGGTCTCCACCCACTAGTTAGCACGCCCCAGTGTGACAACCAAAAATGTCTCCAGACATTGTTGAGTGTTCCCTAGGGGCAAAATTGTCCCTGGTTGACAACCACTGGTCTCCACTCATGGTGTGAAGCCTCATCTCCTTCCCTTTGGCACACCATGACAGAGTGGTGGTCCTTGCTTGCCTCTCAGGCACAAGTGTGACCTGTGGAGTCATGGGTGTGTGTGATTCTGAGGTTTGTAGAGACAGCCACACTACAAGATGCTTCCTAAAAGACCACAAAAGGATAGATTTAAGCCAAGATATTCCAGAGAGGGAGGGTACTGTCCCAGAGGCCACACTTCAGGCTGAAGCTGAGGGGTACCCACCAAGCAAGGCTAGGTTCTTAGCACTCAAGGAGGTCTTGTTCTTGACTGATGTGGGTCCATGTGTCAGCACCCTTCAATAGCACTTATTCTAGCTGACCCCAATTCTACGTTTACTGTGTGCCAGGTGAAGGTGCAAAGTGATCTCATTTTATCCTCATAACACCAAAAAGTAAGTGCCATTACTTGTCCCTATTAGAGAACTAACTCGCTCACAGTAACAGAGATAATAGGTAACAGGCTAGGAGTCAAACCCAGGCATTTGACCTGCCAACCACTGCATCATCCTTTTATATGGTAGCTAAACCCACTACTAATCCACCCAATCATCTTTCTCTAACTCAGTTTTCATCTTTATCAAAATTATTCAGGCATATTAAGAATTAGCCAATTCTACAAGGCCTATTTCTAAAAATAATATTACCCTGATCCCTCTTCCTTTTCCATCTCATCCTCATCCCAGAATTGTTTTAGCTGGTTATTTTGGAATTAATATCTATACCTCTAAATCCATGCTTATATTGCTGGTTTTACAGCTCCCATGGCGCCTCCTCACTTGAATCTCCGTTCCGGAAGTAGAGGATCTGTTTCTCTTTCCTCCTCCACCATGCACATGCTTTCCCTCTTCCTTCTCCTGGGATATCATCTGGCTGGTCAGCACTCAACTCTCACTATTCCCCATTGCACCAAAAACTAAACCCCACTTATCCTTTCTTTCATTTGCTTAGTTATCTGTTTTATTATTACCAATCTGACCCTAAATTCTCTGACAATTCTCTAGTCCCTGTAATATCCTGATATATTAAATATTTTATCAATTTCATCCTCATAAGAAAGTCTCCAGAAACCTTCTTACCTGCTCTAGTCTGGATTCTGGTGTGCAACCAGCAGTCTAGAATCTTCCTGTCATCCTGAAACCCTTTGCCTCTTTCTGTGTCCTCCATCCCAGATACTCTACTTTTTGGTTAATTCCCTTATTTTGGTCAAGAAG